TCATCTATAAAACGGCATTATGGGCCGGGTGCAGTGGCTCACGCCTGAAATCCCAGCACTCCGGGAGGCCGAGGAGGGTGGATCACTAGGTCAGAAGGTTGAGACCAGCCTGGCTAACATGGTGAAACCCCCGTCTCCACTAAAGATACAAAAAATTAGCTGGGCGTGGGGGCACGTGCCTGTAATCCCAGCTACTTGGGCGGCTGAGGCAGGAGAATCGCTTGAACCGAGATCACGCCACTGCACTCTAGTCTGGGTGACAGGGTGAGACTCCGTTTCAAAAAAAAAACAAAAACAGAATTATGCAGAGGACTAAATGAGTTAAAAGCATTTGTAAAAAACGTTTACAACAGAGCTTTGAACATAGTAAATACAATATATGTATCTGTTAAATGATCTTGATTTTAATTATTTTATTTATTTTGAGATGGAGTCTCCCTCTATTGTCCAGCTTAGAATGCAGCGGTGTGATCTCTGCTCACTGCAACCTCTGCCATCTGAGTTGAAGCAGTTCTATGCTTCAGCCTCCCCAGCACTCGGATTACAGATGCACATCCCCACATCCACCTATTTTTTCTATTTTTAGTAGAGATGGGGTTTCACGATGTTGGCCAGGCCAGTCTCAAACACCTAACTTCAGATAATCTGCCCATGTTGGCCTCCCAAAGTGCTGGTATTCCAGGCATAGTCCACCACAACCCAACGATGATCAAGTTTTCTTTTCTTTTTTTTTTTGAGACACAGCCTTGCTCTGGTGCCCAGGCTGCGGTCCAGTGATGCAATCCCAGCTCACTGCAACCTCCACCTCCTGGGTTCAAGTAATTCTCCTGCCTCAGCCTCCCAAGTAGCTGGGATTACATGCACATGCGACCACACTGGGCTGATTTTTATATTTTTTGTAGAGCTGGGGTTTCCCCATGTTGGCCAGGCTGGTCTCCAAAGTTTGACCTCAGGTGATCCGCCCGCCTCGGCCTCCCAAAGCGCTGGGGTTGTAGGTGTGAACCACAGCACCCAGCATTATGAGCATTGTTCTGTACACTTTTACAGCACAGTGAATACGTCAGACAGGTATCCGTCCTGAAAGGGCTTATATTGTTAAGAGAGAAACACACTAAACCTACAAGCAGAAAGCATAATATCATTTCAGATATTGATAAGTGCTATGGCTAAGGCAAGCTCATTTGATACAAAGGGCTGAGAGGGGACACTTCAAATACTATGGTCAGGGAAGGTCACTGCAGGGAGGAGAACATGGAGTTGAATCACAGATGATAACCCAGGAAAGCATTTTATTGTATCCATTTTAAAGATGAGAAAACTGTGGCTCAGGCCTGTAATCCCAGGACTTTCAGAGGCTGAAGCAAGCCAGTGGATAAGGTCAGGATCATCCTGGTCAACAAGGTGAAACCCCGTCTCTACCAAAAATACAAAAAAGTTAGCTGGCCATGGTGGTGCGAGCCTGTAGTCCTAGCTACTCCGGAGGCTGAGGCAGGAGAATTGCTTGAACCCAGGAGGTGGAGATTGCAGTAAACCGAGATTGCCCCACTGCACTACAGCCTGGGTGACAGGGTGACACTCTGATTAAAAAAAAAAATGAGAATAAAGATGCAGGAAGTTAATTGAGTTGCCTGTGGTCTTACAACTAGTAATTAACAAATCAGGCTTCAAAGCTGGCTCTGACTCCTAAACCCGCCTTCCTCAGCACTACAAAGAGGCAAAGAAATTCCAGTGTCTCCCACCCCACTCCTGCCTCCCAGCTATGCTTAGAATAGCCTTTCTCAAACTTTACTTTGGATTCCTTGCTATTTCCTAAAAACTGCTCAGAGGCACAAAGGGGAACCCCACCACCTATCAACAAGTTTAAGGAAAGCACCAAATGTCTTTCAGGAAACTTCCCAAACATTAATGAATCATTTGCATCTTGCTTCACGGTTTACTAGTTCTTATGCCTTCCCCCTTGGAATTTTATTTTATTTTATTGAGACAGAGTCTCACTGTGTTGCTCAGGCTGGAGTGCAGTAATCAGCTCACTACAACTTCCGCCTCCCAGGTTCAAGCGATTCTCCTGCCTCAACTTCCCAAGCAGTTGGGATTAGAGGCACCTGCCACCATGCCCGACTAATTTATGTATTTTTAGTACAGATGTGTTTTCACCATGTTGGCCAGGCTGGTCTCAACTCCTGACCTCAAGTGATCCACCTGCCTTGGCCTTCTACAGTGCTGGGATTACAGGCGTGAGCCATCGCACCAGGCCTCAACTTTGGAATATTATTAATTAATCAATTTATTTATTTATTGAGATGGAGTCTCACTCTTTTGCCCAGGCTAGAGTGCAGTGGTGAAATCTCAGCTCACTGAAACCTCTGCCTCCCGGGTTTAAGCAATTCTGCCCCAGCCTCCCGAGCAGCTGGGATTATCCCCTTCGGATTTTTGTTGTTGTTGTTACTGGAGTCTTGCTCTGTCATCCAGGCTCGAGTGCAGTGGTGCAATCTTGGCTCGCTGAAACCTCTTCCTCCAGGGTTCAAGTGAGCTTCCTGAGTAGCTGGGATTACAGGCGTGCACCACCATGCCTGGCTAATTTCGTATTTTTAGTAGAGACAGGTTTTCACCATGTTGGCTAGGCTAACTCTTGACCTCAGGTGATCCACCCACCTCCACCTCCCAAAGTGCTGGGATTACAGTCGTGAACCACCACGCCTGGCCCCCCTCAGAATTTTATTTGACCTTCACCACTCTGTAAGGTTTCTGGAGAGGAACAAATCTCAGTTTACAGAGAAACTGAGGCATAAACTGATGAGGTACTAGTGTTGCCTAAATAGCTGTGATCAAGGCATTTAAACTACTTGGTTCGCAATTTCTCAAATTTTTCATTAAAAAAAGGGAGAGGGCATTGAAATGATAATCATTAAAGTCTTATCTGGGAACAAACTTCAGGGAGATGGGTTTGTCATTGGGTAAAACCTCAAAAATGAAAGGAAAAGTTTGGTGTACTTTAAAACGTTTTTCTTGCCCTTTTAAAATTCGATTTGTTTTCCTTGTAGTTTTAGGATATAGCTGAGCAGATAACTCCATTTAACTCCCTAAGGTCCTTCCATGATCATTTATTAATCCAAACCACTAAACCTAACACAGGCAGAAGAGAAGTTTCTGAGAAATTTCCTTTTTTTTTTTTTCTGAGACGGAGTTTCGCTCTTGTTGCCCAGTCTGGAGTGCAACAGTATGAACTTGGCTCACCGAAACCTCCGCCTACCAGGTTCAAGCAATTCTCCTGCCTTAGCCTCCTGCGTAGCTGGGATTACAGGCATGTGCAAATCACATCTGGCTAATTTTTTTTTCTTTTTGAGATAGTCTCCCTCTGTTGCCCAGGCTAAAGTGCAGTGGTACAATTTCAGCTCACTGCAACCTCCGTCTCCCCAGTTCAAGCGATTCTCCCGCCTCAGCTTCCCAAGTAGCTAGAGCTACAGGTGCCTGCCACCATGCCTGGTTAATTTTTGTATTTTTAGTAGAGACAGGGTTTCACCATATTGGCCAGGCTGGTCTCGAACGCCTGACATTGTGATCCACCTGCCTCGGCTGATCCACCTGGAGTGGGTAGATCAGCCACCCACTCCAAGACAAGGAGAAACTTCTTTAATAACAGCTTTGTTAGCTGAACTGAATTGAATGTAAAGTAGCTACTTAAATAGCATACAAAAAAATCATTCTGGTTTCAATAAATGTGAAGATTATAATTTGGACAAGGAAAAAAGTGAAAGTTACTTGTACTCTCTAAAGTTTTCCCAGCAAAGAAGTAGAAATACAACAGATGATACATACTTAAAATATAGCTCCTTAAGAGAATGTTTATGGGAGGCCGGACACAGTGGCTCACACATATAATCACAGCACTTTGGGAGGCCAACCATCCTGGTCAACATGGTGAAACCCCATCTCTACTAAAAAAACAAAAATTAGCTGGGCATGGTGGCATACACCTGTAGTCCCAGCTACTCGGGAGGCTGAGGCAGGAGAAGTGCTTGAACCCAGGAGGCAGAGGTTGTGGTGAGCCAAGATTGAGCCATTGCACTCCAGCCTGGGTAACAAGAGCGAAACTCTATCTCAAAGAAAAAAGAGAATGTTTATGTATTTTCATTCATAACTGTCTCCTTCTAGACACAATCAATCTCAGGATTGATATACTTTACTTAGGCTAGTAGTCTTTAGAAAGCAGCAATATAGGCTGGGCGTGGTGGCTCACGCCTGTAATCCAAGCATTTTGGAGGCCAAGGCCGGCGGATCACTTGAGGTTGGGAGTTCAAGACCGGCCTGACCAACATGGTAAAACCCTGTCTTAAAAAAAAAAAGCAGCAATATAATTACATTTCTTTTAAAAGTACTTGTAATTCAGACTTTTACTAGCTTTCCACTTAATATGTCTATTTTGTTTTTAAAAGTTTTGTATTTTTTTTTATCACAGAAATTTATTAAAATTCGAGACATTGTTTAATCTTCTTGTGCCATGAGACTCCATCAGGCTGTACACAAAGTTCACTGGGAGGCTGAGGATTGTGAAAGCCCAGGATTTCAGGCTGTAGTGAGTGTCAAAAGGCCACCTGCATTTCGTCAAGCATGAATTCTGAGTCCTTTGCTTCTTTAAAACTTGCTCCAGGCCGGGCACAGTGGCTCACATCTGTAATCCCAGCACTTTGGGAGGCCAAGGTGGGTGAATCACAAGGTCAGGAGTTTGAGACCAGCCTGACCAACATAGTAAAACCCTGTCTCTACTAAAAATACAAAAATTAGCCAGGCACGGTGGCACAAGCCCATAATCCCAGCTACTCAGGAAGCTGAGGTAGGAGAATCACTTGAACCTGGGAGGCAGAGGTTGCAGTGAGCCAAGATTGTGCCACTGCACCCCAGCCTGGTCAACAGAGCAACAGACTTCATCTGAAAAACCAAAACCAAAACAAACAAACAAAAAAACTTGTTTCATACAGTGTAGTCAAGCCAATTCTCCATACCTTTAAAAGGTCTCCAAACATCTGCACTCAAGCCAGCCATCCAGGGATAAAAACGATACGAGTAGCTGGAATACAAATGAGGACTTCCATTAAAACGCTAAACATCATCAAACTCTTTTCGAAGTTATCTGTCACAGGGTTAAAAATTTGCTTTAATGGAGATAAGTGTCTTGCCAGGTTGCTCAGGCTGGTTCTAAACACCTAGCCTCAAGGGATCCTCCTGTCTCAGCCTCCTAAAGTGCTGGGATTACAGGCATGAGTCGCCATGCCCCGCCCATTTTTAATCGCTACATTTACCTGTTATGACTAGTTACAGCTCTGAACTTGAAAGAATGCCAAGCTAACTCAAGCAAAATGTGTCTGCTTGGTAAAAAGGAATCTAAAATAAAAATACACATATAAAGAAAACGTAGTCAGGTTCAGTGGCTCAGCCTTGTAATCCTAAAGAGGCCAAGGCGGTAGGATCATGTGAAGCTAGGAGTTCGAGACCAGCATGGCCTGTTTAACATGGCACTATTCTGGCTCTACTAAAAATACAAAAATTAGCTGGGCATGGTGGTAAGCACCTGTAATCCTAGCTACTCAGGAGGCTGAGGCAGGAGAATCGCTTGAATCTGGGAGGTAGAGGCTGCAGTGAGCCAAGATCCTCCCAGCTGCACTCCAGCCCAGGTGACAGAGCAACACTTTGTCTCAAATAAAAAAAAAGAAAGAAAAATAAAATGTCTTACTTTTTTTATGTTTTCTGGCTAAAAACTTTTTTTAAAAAGCAATTAGAAACTCATAATTACCTTGTTTCAAGATTTTTAGTTAATATGGTTTATATTCAAACATACTAAAATGAAATAAAATGGGGAAAAAAACACCTCTGAAGAGTAGCATATTTGTTTGCTACTTTGAAAAAACCAAAACGCTAGAATAGGGGTTGTTTTTTTATCTATTCTAATCTCCACTTGGAAAATACTACCTATACACAGACACAATGAAGATATTTTCCTTACTTTTTTAAATAGGGACAGAGTTTCACTGTTTCCCAGTCTGGTCTCAAATTTGTAGGCTCAAGAAATCCTCCGTAGCTTCCCAAAGTGTTGAGATTACAGGCAAGCGTTAGCCACTGCGCCCAGCCCACAGTGAAGATTTAATTAGCAGTAAGAAACACCTATGCAGAAAGAGGATGTGTGCTTGTCATCTGCCTTCTGGAAAATTAAATACAGGCACAAAGGATTCTTCTGCTACATGTCTGATCTTGCCCTCCACAACACCCGTCTACAAGGATGTTTATAGGGAAGTGTTAATCCCCACCTAATAGAGATTGCCTACTGAAATCACCTCACAGTGAGGATTTTTTTCAGGAAAATATTCTCGTTTGGCAATTTTGACTTACTCATTCTTTTGCAAAGTCAACTTGTTATTGGACAAACTTTAAAAATAAACTTTAAAGGTAGCATTCAGATAGCACATCCTAAATTGTGTCTAGATTTAATTTACACAATATGCACTTTGTTTTTCTCCTAATTTGCAACAGAAAATAGTCAGCAGCTGGTAGTTTCAGAAATCACCCTTTTGCCGAGTCTTAACACTTCTTTATTCCAGGGAAACGTGAAGATTGTGAGGCGCTATTTAAAAAAAAAAAGCAAACCACAGGGCCTATCTGGCCACCTAAAACACAGTGTTTTGGTTTCACAAAGCCCTGGAAACTAACCGTCCCCTTTTTGCTCGCCCTACCTGTCACGAAACGTTGTATCATTTGTAGCAAGCTCTGGAGCAGGGCATTTAAAAAGAACGTTTTCTTGCTCAAGTCCCCAAAAATCTCTTGATTCTTAGTGGCAATGTCCAGCTGAGTCTTTGCACACTTTGTTTTTGCCGGCTGGGTCACAACTTTGCGAGAACCCCAAGAGACCTCGTAGGAAGCCCGGTTGGTAGTTATTTTTTCTCCACTTGCCACTAGGTTGCACTAGATTGCACTAGATTTAGGATGCTGGGGAATATGCGCCATTTAATTTTTAAAAATAAAGTAGGACCATCACGTGACGCGACCTGAGAGGTGGGGAAAAAAAGCCGAAGCGATCGGGTTTTTCATTAAAACCCCGTTCAAATCGCTTTCCCTTCAACGCCTGAAAAAGCTGAATTCTATTAAATCCTGGTTGTCATGTTTTTTCCTCGGGTCCACGTCACGAGCTCCCTCATTCTCCGCTTCAAGGTTCCTTTCGACTCCACAACGTGAAGCCAGGGGGAAGACCTCCTTAAACTGGGGGTTTTCGCCAAAAAAGCCAGGGTCACTCCCCGGGAAAGTCCCTATTTAGGGGTTTATCGGGAGGGGACTGAGCCTGACGAGGCTGCAGGGCCGCGAGGCCCCGCCCCCCCCGGGGTTCCCAGCATGCCCCGCGCGGAGAGGACGCGGCGACAGAGGCGGGGCGAGGAAGGGGCGGGGCGAAAGGGAGGGAAGGGCGTCGGTTTTGCGACAGGGGCGGTGGGTTGCGGAAGCGGAAGTGGAGGGTGCGCTTGGCGGCGGCGGCGGGAGCTGCGGAGTCGGGAATCAAAACAAAGGGCTTCGGGGGGCGGGGGAAGGCGGCGGGGCCGGAATGTGAGCGTAGGTGGAGTCGGCGGCAGAGGTGAGTTTGCAGACAGCGCTGCAGCCAGACGGTGGCTGGCCCTACTCCAGGGCCAGCGGGGCGGGATGGAGGACAGTGCCCCCCCTTCCCCCTCCTATTGCTGGTGGGATGGTGGTGGAGTGGATAGGTTGGCTAACTGGGACGCACCAGTCGGGCCCCCCACGAAAGAGTTGGCTTGTCTCCCTTTCGTGTCCGTTTAGTACTGTCACTGTTGGCACCCCTGTTACCCTTCGAGGGTATTTGGCGCCCCGCCCGCCCCTATCTGTCCCCTGTGGGGCCCTCCAGGAGTGAAGTGCACAGTTGGAAGGTTAAGAGAGAAGGAAAGGGGCGGATGTTTTTGCAACACCCTCCCGCATGCCCGGGCGTTTTGCATTCTCCTCGGCTTTTTAGCAATCCCTACGATGTAGTCTTAGGGTTGACAGATAGTGTTGAGCTGCCCTAAGGCTTCAGCCACTCTCACTAGTAGTTGTAACGCGACCTCGTGATACACCTTTTAGAGTTTCTCGAGCACCTTTCCGATATTACCAAGAGCCGTCCAATTGCATTTGTATCTTTTGGACTTCCCTGCGTCTCTGAGTGGTATTCTTATGTTTTGCATATCGGTGGATTGAAACCTTGTCTTCCTAGATGCTTATTAAGCTTTATTCGTTCAACAGTTTTTTATTAAAATGTGCCGGGCATTGTAGTTAGGGTAGGAGATAGAAGAGTGAATAAGAAAACATAGTCCCTTTTGTCATGGAGTTTATATTCTAAATGAGGGGGAAAGATAAAATAACAAGCTAAAAAGGGCATTTTGGCCAGAAGAGCTATGGGGGAGAAAACGGTAATGGGATGTGGTGATGTGGGGTCGAGGGCTAGATTGGATGCTACGGAAACACCATTTGCTAAATGTTCCCCATTGATTATCTCATGTAATCCAAACAACGGCCTGGTAAGGCGGTTTCTATTCTTATCACACCTATATTGGTGATGGGATCTGAGGTTCAGAGAGGTTGTGAGTTGTGTAAAGCTGCACCGCGGTAGAACTGGGGGCTAAAATGCAAACAGTCGACAGAATCTATGCTCTCAGCTCCTAACTGAATTGCTCAAAAAACTTGAAGAGAGTGACAGAAAGGAGACTGTCACTCGTCCAACAGAATCTGCTTTTGGCTACCTAAGTTGCTTCATGGATAATATTTGGGAAATTTTGAGGGTGCAGGCACCTAACAAGTTTTTACTTTTTTTTTTTTTTTTTGAGACAGAGTCTTGCTCTGTCGTCCAGGCTGGGGTGCAGTGATGCGATCTCGGCTCACTGCAACCTCCACCTCCCCGATTCAAGCGGTTCTTCTGCCTCAGCCTAACAAATAGCTGGGACTACGGGCGGACGCCACCACGCCAGGCTAATTTTTGTATTTTTAGTAGAGACGGGGTTTCACCATAGCGGCCAGGATGGTCTCGAACTCCATACCACGTGATCGCCTGCCTCGGTCTCCCAAAGTGCTGCAATTACAGGCCTGAGCCACAGAGCCTGGCCAAGTTTTACTTTTAATCGTTTGTATTGAGCAGTATTTAAGGCACCTTGATGTAGTGAAGGGGTGAACAAGCCTAATTTTGGGTCAGGCTAGCTACATATCGTCATTAAGTTTCTGTTTCCTCCTCTGCAAAACTGTAGCTAATTTCTTCCCTGTCTACCTCACAGAATAATTGCGAAAGTTATGTAAGTGGGTTTTTTTTCCCATCATTATATTCCTTGTACCAAGCACAGGCCTGCTGCCTAGTAGATACTAAGTAAATATTTGCTAAATGAAGACATAAGTCATGTTACACAAAAATGACTTGTAAACTAGATTATACGGTAAATGTCAGCTCACTTTCAGGATTTGGCTTTGAAGAAGTTTGAGAGACTTGATGTACACCATGAATATTACAAATTCTTAGGATTTTGAGAGGAACTTATTGGGGGCCGTGAAACCTGTGTCTAATAATGAAAATGAGAATCGTAATTTACTGTCAGTGGTGGCAGTTAAATCCACCTCTGTCTCCAAATTAACCACTCCCAACAGTGTGTGATAGGTAAATGACATGCTTTATTAATTGAATTCCTCATTCATTCAACTACTGTTTATATTTACAGAGTAGGGGTCCTTTGGTTGGCACAAGAGATATGGTGGTGAAAATAGACAGTGGGATTCATTTTATCTAATTTTGTTTTTTCTAATATGGTGACGGGAGAAATTAGCCATATTTCAACAAATTTTAAAACAAATTTTTTTTTAGAGACAGAATCTCACTCTGTTGCCCATGCTGAAGTGCAGTGGCACAGTCATAGTTCACTGCAGTGTCAAATTCTTGGCCTCAAGAGATCCTCTCACCTCAGTCTCCTGAGTAGATGGGACTAGATGCTCTCTGCCACACCTTGCTGATTTTTTAAACTTTAGTATTTTTTTTACAGCTGTGATCTTGCTCTGTTGCCCAGGATGACAAAAGAGACAGATAGTAAATATTATAGGCATTGTAGGCCATACAGTCTTTGCAAAGAGATTGTCTTCACAGCTCTGCAATTGGAATGCAAAAGCAGCCTTAGGCAGTACTTAAATGAATGAGTATGTTTATGTCGCAATAAAACTTTTATTTACGAACACTGAAATTTGAATTTCATGTAATTTTGTTTGTTCATTTGTTTTTGAGACAGGGTCTTGCTCTATAGCCCAGGCTAAAGTACAGTGGCACAGTCTCATCTCACTGCAACATCTACCTCCCAGGTTCAAGTGATCCTCCTCGAAGTGAATCTCAGCCTCCAAAGTAGCTGGGATTTACAGACATGTGCCACCATGCCTGGCTAATTTTTGTATTTTTAGTAGAGACAGGATTTCACCATGTTGGCCAGGCTGGTCTCAAACTCCTGACCTCAAGTGATCCAGCTGCCTCAGCCTCCCAAAGTGCTGGGACTACAGGCATGAGTCACCACACTTGGACTGAATTTCATGTAATTTTGTATGTCACAATATATTATTATTTTATTTTATTTTTTCGAAAATTAAAAAGTATAAAATGCATTCTTAGTTCACAGGCCATTTAAATACAGGCTGTGGGCTGATTTTGGCTGGTGGGCCATAGTGTACCTCTGCATTATGGGATCACTTCTGTACCTTCAATACAGTACTCGTATAATTCTCTCCCTGCTCCCCACCATATAGATATTAAAATCTCTCAAAAATAACATCTTATGAGAGATATAACTAAAAGAAATTCTTTTCTATATGCCCAGGTGAAATTTTCAAGAGATAGTAAAAGTAATCACCTTAAAATGGCCCCTGTGGGTAACGGTGAGGAAGGAATTGGGATGTTACAGGGAGGACTTGGAAATGAGGCTCAGTTGTCTTCACTGTTGGCCAGCTGCCTCCATGCCCATGCATGTATTGTTTTTTGTTTGTTTATTTTTGAGACAGAGTTTCACTCTGTCACCCAGGCTGGAGTGCAGTGGCACAGTCACAGCTCACTGCAGCTTTGAATTCCTGGGCTCTTCTGCCCTCGGCCTCTTGAGTAGCTGGGATTACCGGCATGCACCACCACACTCAGCTAATTTTTTGTATTTTTTGTAGAGTTGGGGTTTTGCCATGTTGCCCAGGCTGGTGTAGAACTCCTGGGCTCAAGTGATTCACCCGCCTGGGCTTCCTAAAGTGCCGAGATTACAGGCCTGGGCCGCTGCCCGTTACCTGCATTTATTGTTGAGACCTATAAGAGTATTGTTGCCCTGGTGGAGCTATAGCACAGCTGCAACTTGAGATTTTTCTACCAGTTAGATTTTTGGTGGTGTGTCAGATTGCACTTTCATCCTTAGTAAACTAAGAAATTGTTCAATTTGTTCTGTAGCAAATCAAATTCGAAGTCCAGAGAGGACCCTTAGTTTTGACCTTCCATTCTCAGATCAAAGAAACAGTGCGAGAGGTTGCTCTTAAATCAATTTTAAACTTGTATATATAGTTGTTAATGAGGATATGGTGATGGCTCTTTTTGTATTTTTATTCGAGACCAGCCTGGCCAATTTGGTGAAACCCCTCTCTAATAAAAATACAAAAATTAGCCAGGCATGGTGGCAGGCTCCCAGCTACTTAGGAGGGTGAGGCACAAGAATCGCTTGAACCTGATTCTTGTGCCTCACCCTCCCAAGTGCCTTGGTGGAGGTTGCTATGAGCTGGGATCGTGCCGCTGCACCCCAGCCTGGGCAACACAGTGAGACTCCATCACAAAAAAAAGATCTGAATTGTTGGGAGCCATTGCACTACAAATAGAGCTGCAGTTTCACATTTTAATATGTTGTAAAATTTGTACTTAGGCAAGGAAATAACACTGAAATCCTACTCGTTCTTAACAGGGTGGAAGAATGAAAGAAAAGAAAGATGAAAGAATGTTGAATCACTTTGCATGGCTGTATGATGGACGGAAACGAAGCTAAGAACTCCTGCAGCAGAACACGTGGATGGCTTCAACAAGATAATGATGCTAAGCCATGGCTTTGGAAATTCTCTAATTGTTTTTCTCGTCCTGAGCAGACGCTGCCACATAGTCCCCAAACGGTAACTATATGCAAGACTAAGAATGTAGCAGATTCCTTATGCAGATAGATGAGAGAGGTCCATTTGGTCTGGGACGCAGTCTCATCCTGGAGTCTGTGCCAAGTTTTTCTGTAGATCTTGCTTGTATTGCCCCTTATACCACATTATAGTGATTCCTGACTCAGTGAAAGTGCAGCACAATTTTTTTAACTCTTCTATTTCACTCTGAGTAACAGTTGATG